TGTTTTATTTACTTCCTTATTTATCTCTGTTTCTGTGTCTCAGCGTCAGTCTGGTGAAGAGTAAGCTGGATCCCGAGAGTTTGGGCATAATTCTTCTGGGCCCTTTCCTGTTGGAGTTCTTCCCTAATCAGGTATGTATGTGTTCAGAGGTGGACTTCCACTTCAAAATGACAAACAACTTTTAACCAGCCATACAAACCAATACCACAGTTAAAGCACGCGGTAAAAGAGCCATGCACACACACTTACAGTAGGTGACACCATTGTCTATTTCTCAAGCATTTGTGGACTTTCGTCTCAGCAAATCAAAGGTTTGTATTCCAAAAACATTCCTGTGGTGTCTCATGTGAAATCTATGCGTGTGTTCGTCATCATATGACATTAGTTGCCGAGACGTTTAGAAAGAGAGTGGAGAGAGGCCTTTATGAGGTAGAGCGAGTGAGGGAGACTGAGAGGGAGAGAGATAGAGGGGAACTGTGTTAAAGTGATCAGGGCTTTGGGGACTCACCAGAGGAACGGCCCCGAGCCGCAAAGAAATTATACTACCATTAGCCAACTGGACACACACACTCAGACACACGTGGGATTGGGGTGAGGGTTAGGGTTTCATATATAGAGAAGCTGGACACGCTCACAGACAACACACCCTATTAGCATCCTGCACCTTCAAGCCAAAGTCATGAGAAGTGTTTTGGCTCAGTGTCACTGTTTGGACATTTTTCTATTGTTGGCTGCTTTGTTGTAATTGGAGCTTTGCTTCAATGCACCAGTATACATGCACACCTCTGAATCTAACACACAGCATATAACGTAACCTAAAGCTTTGCAGGCAGAGACATAAACATGTTCTGTCTGTGGGTTTTTACCCCCGTCGCTATGTGAACAGTTTGACCAAAGACTCTTGACAACACTGCATGTTTTTCACTGTGCTCTCTGTCTGTGTTTCAGGATTCAGGAATCCCAGACTCATTTCCCGTCTACCACTACAATGGTCTTAAACAGTCAAACCACAACGAGAGGGTAAGAAACTCAGGTTTTTTAATAGCGACTGATGGTGGCGGTTCTTTCTCGTATTCTCTTACACTCTTAGAATTTTTCTTCTTATTTTCCTGTCATCATTCATTCATACACACACACACACACACACACACACACACACACACACACACTGTTGGAGGCAGGCTGCCACTCCAGAATAAACAGTAGCTATTGCGAGCTTAATAGCCTGTCCATCCATCCAGAAACCTTGGCTTAACCTCCTGTTTTTCGAGTCATTTTAATACGGAGGCCACTGTCAGCAGCCGAGTGATGATAAATGGTCAAACACAGGCCTATTAAGGAGGCTTAGTTTGATGGATGATTGTCAGTGGATGTAGCTGGTGTGGCGGTGCACAAACCTGGGACTCAGGAATATCACTTTCTTCATCTGTCAATTTGGTCTAGTCTGTAAAATGGCTTTTTTCCCATACTGCTACCTGAAAATGTAGGAAAGGCACCACATGTGTACCTACACAAAAGAACACGCCTACACACACACGCAGCAAGGCGCCTATAAGGTTGTGATGGCAATTCCATTCCCATAGCTCTAGATGGGAATAACAGACCTGCTGACAGCAGTCTCCTGCAGTGGGTGTGTGTGTTTGTGCGGTTGTGAGCATCTGTTGTATACTTGCATCCATCCCTCTCCTTTTCACCTTTGACCTCTCGAAGGAAGTGTCTGAAAGAGATTGATAGACTTAAAGTCTAAGTTGAAAAAGTAGTTTGATATCTGTGTTTGGTTAACTCTGTGTTAACTGTGTATTTACATGTGTGTGTGTTTTTAGGTGGAGTATGTGGAAGGGACAGCTTTGGTGCTAGGTTTTGAGGACCCCATGGTTCGGACAGACGACACTCCAGTCAAGCGCTGCCTACAGACCAAGTGGCCCTACATTGAGTTGCTGTGGACCACCGACCGCTCCCCGTCACTGAACTAGCACTGACACAGTCTGTGTGCATCTGTGCATGTGGACAGACCACTACTGCTTCATTGCGCACAACCCTCTCCTGCATCCCCTCTTTACGTTGACAGGTCGCCAGGTTACAAAGACTCGGACACATAGAGTATGCAAACATCCACATCTACAACACAAACAAATGAGAAAACCCACAAATGTACACAAACATGAGATGCAGACAGTTGAATGAACTACACATCCACACATGAGATCCATGCTTTGCATTCTCACAAATTAACAAACTCACCTTTACAGAAAAGAAGGACTGACTGTTTATTTTTTACAGCTCTGCTCTGTGCCGACACCTCTGCTACAGTTTAGCAGTAGACAGTGAGACAGTATTTAGGGAGCAGGCTGGGGATGGTTCAAAGACAAGAGTGCTTCACCAAATCACATGTTGAACCACACGTACAGCCAGTCGACTGTGAAACACTACTGCAGCTATAGGACTGTTTGAGAGAAAACCTACCAAAGCCTTCCACATGTGAGAACACATATACACACACAAACTCTCTCACACACACACACACACACACACACACACACACACAGTCACAGCTACTGATAAGCGTTTACAGTTTAAAGGGACCAACCCAGACGCACAGACCCCAGAGATATGAACAGGGGGATTCTTCAGAGTTTTCACCCAGATGGTTTAGGTGCTCTCTGTGAGTGTGTGTGCTTCGTGCACCACACTAGGATGTTGGCCAAGTGCTCATGTATTTATTATCACACACACAAGGTTCTGGAATAAACACTTTTTTGTTCACATGCTGTGTGGCTGATAGCTTTGAAATCACAGACACTCTGTGTCCTTTTTCTAATGAATTTCATGTCCTGACCTCGACATCTGACAGCCTCGGGTTTCAACGTGTCCAAGGTCTAGTTCCCCCTCTTCACTAAATCACAGAACAACAGGTTTTGTGTCCCCTCGGAGACCCCAAATCGAGTTTTAACTAAATCTTCAAGACACTGATGGTGACTTAATTACCTCTCTGTAAACATCAAATCAGTCTCCTAGGACAGAACACTGAATCTTTGCTCACTATCAAAACTTCCCAAAAGACAACAATGGAAACACAGGCATTTTATAAGGCAGCCTAAAATCACTGGCATGTCACAACTGTTTTGTGTTTTATTGAGTCATTAAGTGCCAAGTGTTTACAGAAGTATCTTTTTAGACTATTTACTGTAAGTACTTAGTCCTGGTTTAGGACGAGAACTAGGGTTCTTAACTCTGTTTATGCGTTTGTTTGAGTGTGTGTACAGTTAATGCCTGTTCTGCATCTATGCACAGGAGTGTTGTAATATTGGCTGGGTGTGTGTCTAATGGATCCGTCTAATGGAGAAAGGATGTGAGCCTAATCTGACACAACCATCTGCTTAACAATCACATTATAAGTTTGTAAAATGGGAAGGGGAACATGGACAGTGTATAAAATATGAAGCACTACTGTTCCTGAATCCATGATTAGAGCACATTTGCACACTGATGGGACGTAACCTGAAGAGAATGCATAAATTAGTGTATTCCTGAAAATTGGATATCTGTGAGAATTGTATTGGATGAAAGATGGTGGAGAAAAAAATTCACAGACACTGAAACTGAGCTACAGTTAAACGCTAGTTACATGGTGGACTGCATTATAACACAGACGCACTAAGGCCAAATAGGGCAAAAGCCCAGGAATGTGTCTGTCTGCTGCCTCCTCACTTCATCCCCATCGCCATCTTTCTTGTGTAAGAAGAAAGAAACAGGACACATCTGTCTCTACAGTATGTGCTTCATGTTTTATCGTTTTTTTCCTCTTCTGTTCATCTTAGATTTACATAGAAACAGCTGAGAAGGACCAGACCCTGTCCTTTACCCTCTCTCACTCTCTCACTCTCTTTCGTTCTCTCTCACACACACACAAACACTCCGCTGTTGCACAAAAAAGGACCAGGCAGAAGGTGAATCACTGCACTCATTTAAATGAAACAATAAAGGAAGGGGGATAAGGTTGCAGGAAGGATGGAAATCTGTTAAAGGAGGAGAACGGGGCAGGTATAGGGTGTGGAGGAGAGAAAGTTCTCCATCTGGCAGGTCAAGGTTTGGGTTTCTCCTCATACACTCTTTACCTCACCTTCTCACCTGGTTCTTATCAACTCTGCTGACAGCAAACGCTCCAGTGCCAGTCAGACTCCACTGCAGTTTACTGCACTGAGGCCGGCTGTGGAGTTAATGCCTATAAAGCTCAGTTTAATTGAAACAAACTCCACAAGCTGGTAAATTGCAGATTGGTTTGATTGGAAGTGGGCACACTCTTGCTCTCTCCCCTCACACATGCACAGAGGGAGAGTTTTTGATAAGAAAAGTGTGCTGGGTTAAATATACAAAAACCAGTCTGAGTTAAAAACTTTTTTTATTGCAGGATATTATTTTCAGCAGGAGCCAAGCAGGTTGCCTTGAAGGAGGTTTATCGTCTGGTGTTGAGTGAAACAGTGAGCGAGCCAAATAAACTGCCCAAACTTGCACACAGATTTCTGCTGTAATCCCACATAATAATTACTGACATAATTACAAGTGATTATTCTCAAGGGCAGGAAACGCGCCATTTTTTAACGGCATGGTTGGACGAACCGGCCAATAAAGAAATACAAGGTGAACCATTAATCTTAATGTGCGTAAAGCGCCAAAGCCTCGTGTGTGCGCCTGTGTACATTAGACTGGGCCGATTGGAGAAAGTGGCTATAAATCTCACTTCAGTATTATTTATTGTTTCAGGACGAAGCCCCCAAATTCGCCACGGAAAAGTTGTCTGTGCCTTAAAAGGAGCGGTGACGCGCGGGCCCCTTTTGCGCGCTCAGATGTGGTTTGGTCCTTGTAATGTGTGTGTGTGTGTGTGTGTGTGTGTGTGTGTGTGTGTGTGCGCGCGCGCGTGTGTCTGTGTGTGTAGGGGGTAAGGTTTTGTGCAGAGGGCGGGGGCGCGGCTGAGTAGTCTTGTAGCCAAGGCTGTGCGCAGACCTGCTGGTTTAAGGATGTCAGGAGGCAGTTTTTGGAGAAAGCGCAGCAGAGCGCACTGATCCAGTGTCAGACCGCTGCTGGTGGACTTAACCCGGGGACAAAGCTGCATCACCTCACCTGCACGGAGGAACCTCTCCCGCTCTCAATCTTTCTCTCTCCCTCACAGTTCCCTCTCATTTCGGGGGGAATTGTGCGCATTGGCTGTTCTTCTATACTTGGATGGAGCGCGTACGGGACTGTGGTTCCTCCGCTGGGATGTTGGTTCTCGGGGTGCTGTTGGTGCTCTGGCCCGCGCTGGACGGAGTCTGGGGGTTTAACCTTCACGCAGAGCATCCCACGGTTTACAGGGGACCCGATGGAAGTTATTTCGGTTACTCAGTGGACTTCTACCAAGACACCGCCGACAGCAACACGTGAGTGGATGAGGTCTTATTGGGGCTCTGAAATAATGCTGCACTTCTGTTTAATTTAGATTCAAATAAATGAAGGTTCATCAAGTTTGCAGCTTGTATATCAGCCTGGAGCGGGACAGAAGGATGGATTCTCAGATTACTGCTCCACACACAATGAGCCAGAGAGGAACATGAGATTTATGAATGAGCCAAATGCTGCACACACGTTTGCATATATTTTATACACTCTCCTGCATGAGTTGCCTGTGTTTAACCTTAGCTTTTTCTTTTCCCCTGCACCAGGATCAGTGTGTTGGTGGGGGCCCCTAAGGCGAACACCTCCCAGCCTGGCATCGTGGAGGCTGGATCTGTCTACTACTGCCCCTGGCCTGGACTGCCTGACAGCTGCAGGCAGATTCCGTTTGACAGTTCCAGTGAGTTCCCTGAAAAACTTTTAAGATTATTTGTTGCAAAAACATGGGATAGGAATATTTGAACTGTGACAGTGAGGCGCAGGCCCACCACTATCCTTGTGTTTCTCAATTGAGCATGAGTGAATAAATGATATGACATTTAACAAGTTTTTAATTCCTAGTGGTTAGGTGGCCCCAAATGTTACTATTTGGAACTGGTGGAGTTGTGTAACCTGTGTGTCTGATACGTGTATATGTGTGCATGTGTGTGTGTGTAAATGAGTTGGCACATGTACTGTTGCATGAAAAGGAGAGATAAGACATATGGGCCTCATCAACTTGGTCCAACAGAAAAAAGGTGGCTGGCGGGTTTGCTTGTGCAAGTCTACATCATATGGTTTACAATATATTATCATCAAGGCTCACTGTCCAATCAGACTTTACCTATATATATATAGGTATAGGTATATGTATATATATATATATATATATATATATATATATATATATATACATATATACATATATACAATGTCTGTGATGGTCAATGTTCCATCTGTGTGTGTATGTGTGTGCGTGTGCGTGTGTGCGTGTGCGTCTGTCTGTGTGCAAGAGGTAGTGAGAGAACAAGTGAAAAAAAAGGGAGGGGGAGAGGTAAACTGTATGCACATGGGAATTTAGTCCCCTTCGGAAGAAAGGGGATTGGGTGAGGTCTGCTTTTTATTAGATCTTGAAAATGTACCCCCCCTCCACCCTCACCTCCCTCATTCTCCATCAGTCTATCCCTCTCTATCCATCTCTCTCTTTTTTCTAAGGATAGAATCATCTTTGTGAGGATCTCAAAAACAGAGTTAGAGGCAGACCTTTTTATTGCAGAGAGCTGCTCTGCTGTCTGAGGAGAAAAGGCTGTAACGTGAATATTAGATTTTTTCGAGGTTAACAGCATCTAAAGCTTTGATGCATGAGGAGAAAGCTTCAGCAGCATTTGATCCTGAGACGAGGATATCAGTGTTTGTGCTATAAACTCATATTTATGATAACGATCGGATGTTGCTTGTCAGCAGCTCGCTGATCAGCTGATGAATCAGTGAGCCACTGGTACCTGAATGAAACAGCTGATAAGCCGGTCAGCTGCGTCATTGTTGAAAGCAAGGCTTCATGAAGAGGAGGGTAAGGCTCTGAAGCGAGGACAGTTTTGTTATTTCGCCCTAAAGTTAATTACAAGTTATTTTTAACAAAGAGTCTTAGTGTGAGGTGTTTTTCTGAGGGAAATTTCAGGCTTTTAAGTGAAGAAGAATAAACATAGAGGAGTAAATGTATGAGCAGTTATAGTGCACGTGTTTATCTGTTCTCTGGAATGGGTGGGAAGGCACAAGGTTATTGATGACAGTGATCATGGTGAATATTTCTAGAGTTACAGCAGACTCTTTCTTACGGTTACAATCCGTACACACACAGACACACACACATGCACAGTGAAGTGTTAGCGCTGGTGGTGAACATCTGGTGTACTGTACTGGTTAATATCTCTATGTCGGTTTCACATGTGCCTGATTATGTGTGTGTACCTGTGTGTGTACCTGTGTGTGTACCTGTGTGAGTGAGTGCACGGCCTCGGTGATGTTAGGCAGATGTTTTCCGTCGTGCCAGTGCAGTGTTGGGGGTGGGGTCCATGATGGGGGCTGATGTGTTGATAGTGTGACAGATTAGTGATAAATTGCATGTCTATAACTTGAGTGGAGAAACCTGGGACACCAGAATACCATAGTGCTCCACTGCGTGTGCGTTCTACTTGTACAAATGAATCTTAATCTATAAAATACATACATGACTCATTAGATTTTAAAGCCAAAAAAGCACTATTAATAATCTCTATTTTTCAGAATTTTTTTTATCTAGCATGCGTCCTGTTTTCCAAGTCCTGTTCATAATCACACTGCTCCATATATCCACATATGGAAGCCACACGTTGAAGTAAATGCTCTGCTAATGGCCTCGGCACATCTTAACTTTGTTGTGTGTTTTAGAGGATTCTCCACTAATTCTAACCACAACTATGCCAATGCTTGGATTATAAAAAGTTCTTTGTATCTCTTAATGTCTGGCCTCAACTTTCCAATAAAGATATAATGATGGATTCTATTGGAGAGTTTTTAATAGCTCTTTGTATGAAATTACAGATAGATATAAATAGAAATGTATCTAAATAAAGTTATTATTATCATAGATTTGTGTAAATCGTAAAGTCATCTAACATCATTAAAGAAAAGGACTAAAGAGTTCATACCCCTGCCAAGGCGCAACAGTCCCCTTGAAAAGCCAAGCTGCAGCAAATTTCACAGACTCATACATATCAGTCCCCTAAATATCATAAAAATCCATGAATTATTCCCCTTGGAAAATGGTGAAAAAAGCCCTCACAATGTAAAAAAAAGTCCTGAATCCAGATCTGCACCAAAACTTGATGGGCTCTTCCCTGAGCCATACTGCATTCTTCCTCCATGTTTCATGGAAATCAGTTCAGTGTTTTTTTGTGTTGCTTACAAACAAAGAAATGGACCAACCAACAAACAAAGAGACAGACTGGGGAATACATAACCTCCTTGGCTGGCAGAGGTAATAAAGTGAGACTAAATACGTTAAAGGTGTTTAATAAGGAGGGTCTGCATGGCCCTAAAGACCCCAGCTGGTCTTTAATAACACTGGAAAATAGAGCAAAGACCAACATGCAAACACACAAACTCACACACACTCTACTCTCACCAAATCTGACACTTTATTGGGGATTCGGGAGAGAAATGCTCATAATGTGAGTGTGTGTGTGTGTGTTGCTACATTTTATGAGAAAGACTTTGACTGAAAAAGCATCAGTATCCTGACAAATGTCTGTTTCTAGGGGGCAAATGGTGTTTTGATGTTTGTTATAGTCGTGTTAAAGATGTTTCTGTTTGTTCTTGCTTCAGGGACAAATGTTTTCCATCCACACAGTCTCAGTTAAAGGCCTGGATCCACATTACCATGGTTAATATCAGCTGTTTTCTGGTAACACTCTGAAAAAGTCTCTTTTATACTCAATTTTTATGTCTTTGCTACTTCCCCCCTTTCTGTCTCTTTCTCTGTCTGTCTCTGTCCGTCTCTGTTACTGTCTCTCTCTTTTTCTGTTTGTATTTCTGTTTCTTTCTCTCTCACTGTCTTTTTTCTATCTCTGTCTGTCTCTCTGTCTTTGTCTCTGTCTCTCTGTCCAGATAACAGAATGATGAAGGTGAATGGCACCAGGGAGCCTGTGGAATTTAAGTCACACCAGTGGTTTGGAGCATCTGTCAGGACACACAAAGGAAAAGTGGTGGTGAGTGGTGATATTTCTAAGACTTTGTATCTCTGCCAAGAAGGTTATGTTTTGTCAGCATTTGTGTTTGTTTTGTTTGGGTCTGTTGTGCCTTTATGGAGGCCTGCCTTCTACTGCGTGCCATTCTATCTTTATTTGCCATTCTGCGAATTTTTCTTAAAGAGATTATTTGTTGTTTAGGCCTGTGCTCCGCTCTACCACTGGCGCACAGTGAAGCTGAGTGGGGAGAAGGAACCTGTGGGGACTTGCTATGTGGCCGTGCAGAACTTCAGCGCCTACGCAGAGTACTCTCCGTGCAGGACCAGTGAGTCACTGTGCAGCCCCGTCTCCAGCTGCCTACACCTTTCTTTTATTGCTTTCCATCACCCCTTCCTTTATTTTCTCTTCTCTCTCTCTCTCTCTCTCTGTTGTCAATATGAATGCAAATTAACGTAGTTTTTTAAAGATATGTCCTTAACAGACCATTTCCTACAATACATATCATCCACCAGTGTATGTCATAATAGGACATAAAGCCTAAGTACACTACACTGATTTTTATGTCAGTCTATAAAGTCTAAGGTCTGTGCCTCAAGTTTAAAGTGTCAATTCACCCTAAACCTTCTCTATTTCTTGTTGTATTCAGTCATAAACAGTTTTAGGATTTATTGTCCTGATCTTTAAATATCTGTCTCAGATTCCAGCCACCCCCCCGAAACGTTTTTTGTGGCATTGCATCAAATCCAATTAAACTGCTACATGTCTTTCCTGACATTGGCCATGTTTTTTAGATCATTTAGATTGAAACTACATGCTGAAATGTGCTTTATGTTTATGTTTGTTTTCACAAACATTCCGTTCACTTCTGTGGTATTTGCGTGGTGCTAGAAATCCCAGAGGTGATTATCTCAAAAATCTGACCAATTAAAACCAAATCTACATGAAGATGTGAAAAAATGCATTTAAAATATGGCTGAACTTACTCTTTGAAGTGTGAACAGAATATTTATTTTCACTGGCCTCCACAATGTACCACACTGTTTGACGTTTGCCACAGAAACCTGACTGTAATCTATCTTTCTGACGGCTTATCTCTTTCTCCCTGCATCCTCTTCTTTCTGTCATTGATTCTATAAATGGGATGATGGGATTCCCCTGCCTTGCCCCAACCATCATGCTTTTATCTCTATTTTTCTTTCTTTCTCTCCCACTTTCTGTGACCTCCTCTGATAAGGAGCAATAGAGGCTACTGGGTGGCACTTGGTAAACAGCAGATCAAAACGCTGCCCTTATCGTCAACTCCATCATTGGCTTTGCATGAAAATCCCTCACTGATCACACTCATATACACACGTTCATACTCACGATCCCTGTCGTGGCTGGTTAAACGTCTGTATTTTTATGTTTCTGTCACTGACGACGCATCATGGTTAATCACATTGAAACTCAATTGTTCTCGAGGGGGGAATAATGCTGCACAGTTCTCAAGCGAGGGGATTATGTCTTTATCATGTGTCTGAGTCTGAATTTTAGTCTCCAGCAGCTTTTTTTTGCTTCATCTTCAGCTGAATCTACGACCGCTCAGACTACTGCTATAACTCACGCTTTGTTTACACACGCGTGTGTAGTTACACATCATTAAACCTCACCTCAGGGTACCTCTGAATTGAAGAACAATTCATTACGCACATAAAGTTTTTTTGTTCATGCACAGTTAGATGCAGTTATTCAAACGGAAGCACAGCTCAGTACATTTAATGTCAACTGTCATTAGTTTTTCGTCACCCTGTCTTTATGGCTGAGCTGTTGGATCAGTGCTTTACTCAGGGAAACTAGTGCCATTACAATTAGGATGCTGGTTCTAGTGACTTGTTTCACTTTGTGGTTTCCAGGCGATCCAGACCCAGAGGGGCAGGGGTTCTGCCAGGCTGGCTTCAGTGTGGATTTCACCAAGGTAAAGAGTGCAGCAACAATCATACATTATCATCATGACACCCCCCCCTCCCCCCTCCCCAGGTTTTGTCCTGTCTCTGGAGTGCATGCAGAGAGGTCTCTTGAAAACATAAGACTCCCTCCGGAGATTTATGGACACGGGGAAGATGAGAGCACGTTTGTCCCTAGAGAAACCCTCCACTCCTGATGTGACCCATCGCCTCTGAACACAATAGACAAAACACACATGCTTATGCATTCTTTCGGTGTGTAGTCAACGTGAACCCTGACCTGTGTTTCATGGTCCAAACCTACCCTCCATACAGGAAGCTGTCATTCTCTGCAGGACGTCAACAGGCATGGCAGCAGGATTCATGTGTGCTCTCTCCCCCACACACACACACGTGCACAGCTACAAGTGTTATATACCCCCCTCTGCAAATGTCTGTCACATGACTAACCCCAAGTAATTGTATTTATTCCAGGAAGGAAAGCTGGTGGTAGGAGGACCTGGAAGCTTTTACTGGCAAGGTAACTGCACCAGCAGAGTGTGAACCTGTGTTTAGTCTCTCGCTTTCGGTGATATCACAGATGGGACAGTGTTCAAATGAGAGAAGAGAATGCTGATGAGTTTAACAGTCAGAACAGCCCACATACACACACTTGCACATGGAAATCTGTGCCAGGTTTGCAGTTTCATTACAATCTTAAAAGGTGGAAGGTGGAAAGAAAAATGTCTCTTTCTCTTTTCTGTTAGTCTGCCCTTCCTCGCTCTTCCATGCTTCTCTCTGTAACAGGAAGTGGGTGTTTGGGCTCTGTAATGAGCTGATCAGGGGGTAATGGAGTGTGGAGGAACTGCCCATTTGCCCCGTGATAAAGCACAGAGGGCCCTCGAAAAAGCTTCAAGGAGAGAGGACGAGGCAGAGCAGTACAGAGAAACGTTTTTTGGGTGGGGTGGCGGGGGCAGCGGGAGTGATTGAAGGAGATGATAGAAACATGTTGCAGTGGGGAGAGAGAGAAAGATGAGAAGTGACAAGGGAGTGTGTCGGAGAGCAGGAGAAGGAGAAAGATGGATCCTCTGCTTGATAAAAGCAGCGCTGGGGTCAGCTAGTCTAAGCAGAGGGATGAAGTGTCTTAATAGTTGTAGACACAGCCAGAGTGTGTCAGAGTTCAGCTGCTGAAGGGGAACGCTACTCCCCCAACTCCAGGTGTGTGAAAGAGTGTATTACCTCCTCTCCTCTCCCCTCATCTTTATTTACTGTAACTCAGTCCTGTAGCGGTTTTAAGGAGCGGGGAGACAGTTATTGATCAATTGCACTCCCCCACTCTCTGTAACCCAACTTCTGTCACTCCGCAGAACTTCATTTCTTCACCATGGAAAGAATAAGACGGCATTTTTGTTTACACAGAGGTCAAAAAGAAATATGAGAAAGACGTCGGGTGAAATTGGCTCATTGACGATTCTTTCAAAAGTCTTATATTATGATCAGGCTTTATTGTTTGTCATCTGAGTCGCTGCTACATATGGTTGAATAATGAACGTTGCAGCTTAGAAGACCGCACTCGACAGACGGCCTAATGGACTGCTCCCTCGCTCTGTGCCCTCAGAGTGGCAAGGCTGGCTGCCTCCAGTTAAAACACTTCCTCTGAATGTTTATAAGAGCACTCAGCCTGGATTTTATGGCCTCTAATATACCACGATTATCTTCAGCCTTCAGCCTGAGCTATCATTAAAGAAGCTCTTTTATATACAATCTTGTTATCTCTGGGTGTAAAGGACAATTCAAATTAGCAACAGTGACTTATGCCTCTATGTTAACAGTTTGGAGCACGGTGTCTCATTCATCAGATTGGAGTTTTATAATGAGCTGATGTAGCGATATGTTATGATTGGAGAGGAGCTCATAGCTCAGTGTGACAGAGAATGAGAGGGAGCGTGTGGGAGAGGAGCTGGAGGGAGGGTTAAGAGGGCACATTGTCCCAACGTCAGTGCACACGCACACACACATTAAAGAGGATTTATGGAAGGTTGAGGGCGGCCATAGATAAAAATCATTTGTTTGTTTGACCTCTTGTTCAACAGTAAAGGAAGGGTGTTGTTTGTGTGCGGAGACCTATAATTCAGAATCTTCTCCGTGCATGGGACAGGCATTTTTTAAGAACATATTTTCCCAGCTTTCCCTCTGCCAATGATGTGTTTTAGATTTCCTCGGGGGGGACTGCGATGTGTCGTTAGCTGCGTGCATTTTTCATGTGGAGCGAACGATCCAGCTCCAGCAGGTTTCTGTAGCGGAGGGCAACAGTGCTCCCGTCATGAGGTCCAAGCTGAAACCGCTGTCCATGAGACAGATGTGACTCTCTCACCCTGGGTGTTTATTTTTCTCTATCTTTCTGTGTGTGTGTGTGTGTGTGTGTGTGTGTGCAGGTCAAGTGATGACAGCAGGGATAGCTGAGATACTGAACGGTTACTCTTTGAAGGCAATCCTGAGAAAGGTTCCAGGAGAGAAATACACTCGAGCGGCTGAGGACACACATGATGACAGCTACCTCGGTAACATGCATTTACATTTACATGCACACACTCAAACTAATGCATCTTAAAATTGGAATAGTTACCTAACTAGCAAACATGACGCAGAGTTAATTTCACCCGTATGTTTCCCTCTCTCTCTAGGTTACTCTGTGGCGGTGGGGGAGTTTACGGGAGACTCTGAACAAGGTGAGAAAGCCAACAATTCATTACAACTAACCACATGCAGCACCAAAGGAATCCCTCGCCAACAACATCAGAAACCCTGCATGCTTGTAGTGTCTGCACTCCACAGTTGGATGCTGGGAAACACTGTGGACGGTGTGATGGGCTGAGCGATAGGGAGCGGACAGCTGGGTGACAGTGTCTGGGTCTGAACTCAGGAGCAGTAATGAGAACTGTCTCTGCATGTCTAGGTCGTGACCCTGAGGAGACTGGACTTCAGGAACCACTGATAAAGGGATTTCCTGTCCTCCATTTTGACTGATTAGAATGATTACTGGCAGACTCACTAGATGTCGTCAGGTCTAGAGAGGGTCCAGAGTGACTTCTTCTTTGATTTAATCTTTTCCTTGTATGTACTATTCATATTCAGAAAACCTGATGATACTAGAACATGTACAAATATATATATATACATATACATCCTGTTTTGGCTTTATTCTTATCTCTATTGAGCTTCCGGTGCTGCTGAAGGTCTTTCCCATGCCATCAGTTTGTCAGCACTATAATGAAACACACAAGGAAACTCAACAAAAAGCACAGCTCTTTTATTACAGAAGACGGGGGAAAAAATCCACCACAGTCAAGCCACATCATTTTAAAGCAATTTTTACGGCTTCTTCTTCAAACACTGTGTCATCACACACTTATTTCTGAGACCCCTCTCCCCTCACACCACTTCACCTTCCCATTCACAATTTCCTGTCTATCGGAGCCTCTTTGTTAATCACCCTTTAGTGGGATCTTTACAGGACAACATTAAGTTTACATACCCCCATACCAACCCCGCTAAGTCCCCTGAACCCCCTCCGGCACAACACATGTCAGGGAGTCTTAAAGTGAGCCTTAAGAGGTTACACATGCCTGTTGATGTGATGTGTTGTGTTGTGGTACAAAACTTGTTGAGGTCGTGTTCCCCGAACAATCTTCAGACTGGGGAACTGGTTGTAACTGGGAGCTGGAAGTGAAGATGGAGCTGGGAATGGCTGGTCTTATAGGCTCGTGGTTGAGCCTGTTGGCTGGAGCTGGAGGGCAGGAAGGGGGGACTCTGTCTTCTCTCTCTGGGTGGGACCCTCAGATCGTCCCTATAAGTCTGCAACACTGCACTCATCAATCAATACACAAGTAGAGCCTGAGTGTGTTCTCAGTCACACTCAGATGTTCTGACGGGGAATGGGGGGTGGGCTTCATAGGGGGTTTAAGGGTTTAGGCCTTTGTAAAACCTCTGTTGGCCTGTTCTTCCTCTGTAAGTCCTTCTCACACATGTGCACACGCTAATGTAAATGTGTTTTTCTTTGTTTTCATGTTTTCCAGAGCTGTTAGCTGGAGTCCCGAGAGGAGCACAGAACTTTGGATATGTGAGTATAGCTGCAGGCAAGCAAATTTGACAAAAGGCAGAAAAAGAGATTTCCGCAGCAACAGCATTGCTATGAATTTAAACTAAACAAATGCACACATGTCTTTACAGTGCACAAATTGATTAGTAGGAAAATTACGTAAATCATGTGTGGCCTTCACAGTCACCAGATCTCACAGCCAGTTAAACACCTATGGGAGTGCTATAGACTCTGAAAATAAATAGCAAGTGAAGCTGGTTCTGCAGGATAGCAATGGCTGTGCATCTTATTAGGATGTTATGTTGGTATGTGTAATTGTTTGCATAAGTGCAGGAGATATTAGAGACTGTGTGTAGGCTTTAACTGCAAAACAGACTAAAGTGTCTACTGGGAGACGAAGAGAAGTCAATCTTTCATGGGATGACAGCTGCTCAGTGCATTACAGTACTGTATAAAACATGAACATGAATCAACATGGATGTAACACATACTGTATGTGCCTCTATGCATATACTGCAGTGTGTCTTTAGTTCTCTTATGGGGATTTGTCCCCGGGGCTGACTGTGTCAGTCCTCCCTAATGACACACAGCTTCCGCTTCATGTGGAGGGGGGTGACCCCACCTAACCCCACTAACCCTTCTCCACACACACATGACCCCTAACACTAACCTGCAGTGCAACCGCAGGCCTCACCACACTGGACACACACACACACACACGCACAAACACACACACACACACACACACACACACACACACACACACACTACAACAGTGTGTGTTTTATGTCTGGACTGACTGTAGCTGGTGCACGACTGCTCCTTCCTGTACAGACAGTGCTCTCTGACTGTCATAGAGATCAGGGCCTGTAGCTCACTGTGGGAGTCGTGTTAGAAGGGATGCAGGTAGGCAACATTAGAGGCACTGGGGAAGCTGTCAGCCCTCATCAGGTTTCTACTGGGACCAATCCGACAACTCAGAGTGCAGGAAAGTTGACGTCCAAGCTAGTGATTCAATATTTGTGTTTACACATCATCATCTGTCTGTGTTCGTAAGTCTATCCCCGTTTAGTGTGTCTTTCAGACATCTGTGATTGGGTCAAAGCGTATCCCTCCGCATGTGTGTGTGCGTTTGAGCATGTGAGTGTGTACGTGTCGCCCCCCGGCTCTCTCCATGTGGTTGTTATTTTAGGTCTTATGAAGGAATTCTCAGCCTTCCCCCCCGTCTTTCCCCACGACCCGGGTTAGGATGGGGGGAAGGAGAGAAAGATGAGGGGAAAATGGTAAAGGCACAAAGAGGATGGTGGTGGGGGAGGGTGGGGAAAAGAGAGGGATTTCAGATGAATAAAAGCTTCTTCTTTTTTAATGCGGTTTCAGACTTTTTTTTCTGCATTCTTCATGAGCCTGTTTGTCAGACCGCTTTGCCATGTTTACTCCTGGAGTGGTTTAAATACAAAACCTTGTGCTTGAGCCACACTGTATTTAACAGCTTATTTGCTGGTTTTAGGTGGTAATGATCAACTCCACCAATCTGACCTTCATCCAGAACTTCACAGGGGAACAGGTAGGAGCATTTGCACCAAACTCAGAACTCTCACAGTCCGTCATATTGCAGGGCCTCATGTAAATTAGTATACGATGGGTTCTCACTGATATCGATTTTCATTAAACAGCATTGGATTTATGATTAAAAGTACTAATTTCTTATCTGTCTCCCAGATGGCCTCCTATTTTGGCTACTCTGTGGCTGTCACCGACCTGAATGGAGATGGGTAAGTAGAAAACCAACTTGTCACTCCAGACGCATTTACTTGCTTTCTTTCCCTGAGGGTCGAAACTACTCTTCGTGTCCCCAGGATGGACGATGTGCTGGTCGGGGCACCCCTCTACATGGAGAGAGAAATGGAGAGCAAACCCAGGGAGGTGGGCAGGGTTTACTTGTACCTGCAGATGGCACCGCTCACGTTCTCCAATCCCATTGCACTCACCGGCACGCACACCTTTGGACGCTTTGGCACGGCTTTAGCACCCTTGGGGGATATCAACCAAGATGGGTACAATGGTATGTTGAGGACCTGATTACATTCATTGAAGAAATAAAAGTGAGCAATGTGAGAGAGACAAACAAAGTAAGAGGAAGATGAGGAAATCCTCTGATATGTTTTTGCTTCTGTGTATAGCTCTTCCTTGTGCTTGGCTGCGCACATGGGGGGGGGGTGTTTTCAGGTAAACACGTTGGCAGACAAATCTTTCTCTGTGTTTTGTCTCTGGGCAGAGGAAATCCTGTCAGATACAGCAGCTTTACAAACCTTCAAGCTTTTCAGCCAATCAGGAAGTGTGGTGATGAAAAGTTGTCTGAGTGAACTTGTTTCCTCCTGTGATGATCAGGGTTGAGGCCATGTGTGTTTAAGCATGTGTGTGTGTGTTGGGGTTATTTTTAACTCACCAGATGTGCCCTGAGATAAAATCATCTGGGAGTTTCTGTCCGGCTGCCCAGAGTTCATTCCTCTTCAATGTGTTTGTTTTATCCTCATATTGATTGGACAAAGACACACACACACACACACATACTTGTGCATACACAGAACAAACCATGCAGCCCGCAGCCCATATGCCCTTTGTTGAATGAAGCCATAAAAAGCAAAGAATGGATGCACATCTGGCCCTAGCATGGCATACCACTGATTTATATTTTACGTATTTATGGACAGCATGTGTTAATGCGTGTCCCACCCTTTTAAACCCTTTAACCACCGGGTCAATAACCACTGGATCAATACTTAAGCTTTCTCTGGCCAGAAACATAAATCACATGAGGCTGTGGGTCAGGATGTGACAGTTTCTGAGGGGTGTTGATGTGGCCTCAGAGGGGATGGAGCGCCCCTGCCAGCTGCAGTGACGTGCACAAAGAAAACTCGTCCATATCTGTGCATGATTTCATTAATCTGCATTACATACATCGAGTCACCACGGAAACATCTTGATCACGGTTTTCAGCAGCTACTTTTTGCTAATGTCAAACTTATGTCTTCAAGTGTACCTGTGTCTGTGTAATCACTGACAGATCCCTTTTCTTCCTGTGACTACATGGATCCTCTTCATCCTCCAATTGCAGAGACCTTATCACTCAATATACAAAAAGCAGAACCGTACCCATTTCCTCTCATCATCAAGGGTTCGTCGAGTGGAAGCTGTGAAATCCTCTCAATCTATTTCGCAATGTTGCTTTGTTTTTTAATTTTTATGAACGAACACAGTGTCAGCATCACTGGCCTTGTTTCTTCCCTGTGAGTAACAATCTCCTAGTTGGTCCCAGTTTTCATAGTGGGTGTTCCACAGGCTGTTTTCCTGTGGATGTCTACATTGTGTGGGATGTTGTTGAGCAATGCCTGTTAGTGACTTTCACATTATTTGAGGACTTTTTTTTTTTCTTCTCTTAGTAAGTTGTTTTTTTTACTCTGCTATTCAGTTTTGTATACATACCCACGCATAGACATACAGACACATGCACTCACAGGCTCTTACACTTGCATACACACATGGTTGCATTTACCCTTTCTACCCCACAATCTGCTTCATGTGGAACTAGTTGTTTAGACTGAGAGAGAGAGGGGGTCCGGAGACAAACAGGATGTCTAGAGGTGTTTGGACAGTTACAGTATGCATGGATGTTAAGAGGTTAAAGGCTAAATACTAAAAACTGGTTGAATAGTGAATCTGTGACCTTTTTATACCAGGACAGGTTCTTACGGGTATTATACAGGGGGCTAAACTGGGAGTCCAGGTAAACTGTGAGCCTGGTTCTGTCCAAAACACATTTAAAGGTCACTAGTTCATATTTTTGTATCTTGTAGCCTCTATCTCAGAGAAGAAACTTTGCCCCATCATTTTTCTACTTGCTCAGTGTAATGATGAAATTTCTGTAGGGAGATTTTACCTTTGTACAGAACAAGGTGGTTTTAATTGTTTGGTTTTTTTTGTTAGTCTTTGACTAAGATAAGCTGACTAGCTGCTACTTGTAGCTTCATATTTACGTGTAGCTTCACATACAAGGCTTTCAATTGTGCCATGCTATAGTTGATTATATCTGTCAAGTATGGGCATGATTATCTTAATAATAACAACTTGAATCAGGGGGAAACATACGGAGCCCCCGAAGTCCCAAAAGATGATGATTTTTATCTTGTGCGCACAAGTTATTATCTTGTGGGCACAAGATATTTATTTTAAGAAGATGTTAATCACTCAGATGCCCACAGCCACCAGATTTGTAGCATAGCATGGAGTAATCACCTGGGAATGTCATACAAGGAAATTCGTGTTGCTCTTGCACAGAGACACAGGATCGTCAGGATTCATTAGCTGCACATACTGAAGGAAAATAGGCTCAGGAGACGGGAGGACAATGTTTTAATCATAATACTTGAGAAATTAACAAACACTGAAAGGTCCAATCAAATGTTGCCCATACAGATCGAAACACAAACAATGACCTTAACATTGCCCAGATGTCAAAAGAAGATTTAAAGCAAAAATATTAGTATAATCAATGATATTGAGGAAAATTTTAAGTGGCCATGGTCTCCACTGCAGGTAAAGGAAGGTCAAGCTTTTTCCCTGCTACCTGCATGCTTTCCTTAGCTTCTGTCTCAGAGGGGCCTTAACCCTGCTGATGTCTAAAACATGCATGCATGTCGTCCCATAGACGTGGCGGTGGGTTGTCCATTCGGAGGCGAGGAGCGTGGAGGCAGAGTATTGATCTTTAATGGGAACAGAGACGTATCCACGCGAGGCTTGATGCTGAGCCAAGAGCTAAGAGCAGCCTGGACCCCAAGTGGCAGCTTGTCGGGATTTGGATTCACTGTGAGAGGAGGCCAAGACCTGGACAGCAATCAGTATCCTGGTAAATACTCACACTCAACGACTTCTCTACTCCACTCCCTGCGTTACAATCAAAATTCCTTTTTACATTCCTTCGCTTCTCCACTTTCTTTCCAACGCCTCTCATTACAATCTGTCCTCCTTCATTCTTGACCTCCAAATTTCATCGTTCTCTCAATGCAAGCACTACTCCACTACCATCCCCATGTTCTCCCATATTGCTTTCCTCCTCTGGTCTGGTAAAGTCATCAGTAAGAGGAATGGGGTATAGGGTTGAGTGCCAATGAACTGCTGCCGCATCCATTCTTTGGGGATTTTCAAAACTCAAGAAGTAGAGAAAACATAAGATGGAGAGAAAGAAAAGTATGATAATACATTAACCACAAGTTAAGTCTGCCAGACAGTCAAGCCACAGCCAATACTGTGCACAATCAAAGCATTATTCAATCAAATTACATGCACTACTTTATGTGCTACCTACAGTACTTACTTTGCCAGACTCTTCCACCTTCTGACTTCTCATAACATATTGGAAAACTCACTCTGATCATAAGAGATCTGAGAAGGAGAGAATTTTATGTGAGTGGGAAGTTGTTTGTGTATAAAAGTTTTCAGTCCAGAAGAAAGGGGGCATTTGAAACAAAGCAGGTCTGTAAAAACAATGTGATACTACCTTATTTTCTCCCTAATTTAGAGTCATTCTGTTCTCTGCATTACTTAGGCTTTGTGTTTCTGCAGATTAGGCTGAAAAGGAGAATTTGTTTAGTTTTACCTTTTTCCATTTTTTTTGTCTCCACTCTTTTCAGCCCCATTTCCTTTTCATTTTGCTATAATAACAGATTTCTTCATTCCACAAACAGGATATCAAGGGAAATACACACACGTGGAACACACGCAAGTTCACATGCGCGGCTTGTGATCAGTTTCACTGGCGGCCGCAGAGTGTGTGTTGAGCATGTGCCAGGCTGCAGGTCAAAGCTAGACCCTGTGCAGACCCACTGCAGAGATCCTGGATTAAAAACATTACAGTAAATACACATCAGGGGCTTGCAGGTTGAAACTTAGGCTGGTCGTGTCCCTTTGGGAGGAGGAAGTGAGGTAGAAACTCATGGGTGGTTGAGCCCTCAGCCAACACACACACACCATGTAAACACACACACTCGCAAATGTGTGTGTGCTTTTGTCATCTGTCATTAGAGAGCTGGCTGGCGGAAGTTAGACACATACACACATGGTGTGTCGTTAGCGGGGTAGTAAAGTCACACTGTTCAAAGGAGCCAGCGACGTTTGATCAGCATTATGAGAGGACTGCACAGGCGTCTGGGAGGCCTGCTCGAGCTGCAATATGCTCCCATCTATGTTCAGTGTCATTAGTCTACTGCAGGAACATTAGAAGAGAGAAAGGTGATGATTAGACTCTGCTTTTGGCTTTAATTAGTTTCCTCTAAGGATTAGATCATATATTTGTTCTTTTTATAACTAGGCATTACAGAACCAAAACTGTCACCCACACTCCCACAATTAGCTTAAATGAAACCGGCGTCTTTGGTTGTGAGCATGACACGGAGGCACTACTGTGTTTTACTGATGCAGTGGAGGACACAAAGCTGGCTGGAGTTAAGGTTAGGGGATCTGCATGTTGGTAGGGGATCAGATTGCCTCAGGGTGCATTTTAGGTTCAACTAAGGGGTCAAAGGTCAAAAACTGACAATGTTTTACCTGTCAATCACAGCAGCCTGCTGAGAGAGTTACAGACACAGAGACGTGTCAGGGTCAGGGATTTGGATGTGTGTGGTGGTGAGGGGTCATTTGGTTGGTAAGTAGGTGTCAAATGTGTTACTGGGCTCCATAAAAGTATTTCCAGCTCATTAAGTAAAAGTAGAACAAAGTTTCTTGTTCCCTCATCAATAGTTATACACACCAAGTGTTCCTTTAAACAAAACCATCCTTATTAAGCAATGAAGAACATTTTAAACAACTATTGAATATCCTTATAATAATCCCACACATGCATTCAAGAATTAAGAAAAGCTCCTTTCCTCTCTTATAAGCAACTCTTTTTCCTCTGAGTGCCATTGACCTTTGGCATTTCATCATCAAGACCTTTCGCCTGCAGCCAAACAGGCAGTCAGGGCAGGCAGCCAGTGACAGCTTGACAGTCTGTCTAAACTCTGGATGGAGGTTGTGTTTTCACAGGCCGGGACAGACACTACCAGCTAAAGCAGCTTAGTTACCGACACTATACCTGCACAGGGCTGCCATCAGTGAGTAGAGTGTGCACAAGCTGGTTTGTCAGCCCATTTGTGTGAGGGGATTGGTTCGTTGTGCCTCTGTGCACACGCGCACGCAACCTCAAATCAACAGTGGCAGTCAAGCTTTCCTGTGTGTAAGGAAATGAGATTGACAAGGAAAGGAAAGTGGGCTGTTATTTGATTTAGCCCTCAGTGCAGCCATGAGTGCACACGCACACACACACACACACACACTCAAACACAAACACACTTTTAATCCCAAAGGTGCCCTGTCCTCAAATCACTCTCGTGTCATGCAGTAGTTTTGAGAGCAAACACAAGAGTGGGGATAATGAGCAGAGAGACAACCACTGTATTGAACACAGATTCATAGTTGAGGCAGGAGTGGAGTTAGATTTCCAGGTTACACAACTCCAATATCTGGATGAACAGAGGAATTCGGCCTGGGAGCGAGGAGGTCCCTCTCTGTCTCTCTCTCCCTCTGCTGAGAGTATACCTTGCTTCTGATGGCTTTAACAGATTGCAGTTTAAAGGCCAAGATCTGCAATCCTCTGCCCTCCTTTTCTTTCTATTATTTCTTATTCTCCTTCTCACCCCCTCCTCCCCTTTAACGTACCTCTCCAGCTGCCCAACAAAAAACCCACATCTCGGGCTCCTTTCTCATCGCAGACTTTTCTAGACAGGACATACACACAGTGCCACACACACTCAACGCAGCGACACAGCACACCCCAGGGGAAGAGGGACCAGGGCCTAAATGTTTAATGTTGTGGTTTCAGGGGGACTCTGACTGCAGCCGAAGGCAGAAACAGATGTGCCTCACTCTCAGATTCAATTAGTCGCTTTCTTCTTACATATGCAGAGGAGGAGAGACACAGCAAATGACAAGCACCGTCTACGAGAGAACATTTCCACAAGCTTAGTGCGTACATCTCTGAAGCTGGTTACCACAACATTTCCTACATTCTGTAGCTGCTTCTGATCGTCTGATTAAAAATTAGCTGATGAACTGAAAATTAATTGACAAAGATTTGGATATTAATCAAGTCAAAATGCCAAACACTCCCTGGCTACCACTTCTTATATGTCGTTTTGTCATTATATAAATAAATAAAAGATACAGATTAATTTATCAAAATAATCATTTGCTGCGGAACCAGTCATGTCTCGCTGAGCAGCATGAGGTTGTTCTGTCTTTCTCAGGATCAACTTTGTTTTCCTTCATCTGGCAGTGGTGGCTTTTATCCATTAAGTGCCTCTCGTCAGTTTCACATTGTTCTAATCAGCATATGTGTTCATATATTGCGTGTGTGTGTGTGCGTGCGCGCATGTGGCTTTCATTGGTATGCGTCGCATGACCGCAGCCCTTAAAAAGGCCGGCTCTATTTTAAACTCCGAGAGCCAATTAAAAGTGTGTGTCGATCACAAAAGCCATGAAAACAAATAAAAATCACATATAGAGGAGATCTGTGGCTGTTTACGATTAGGAGATGACTGTTGCAATACAGGCTGCGGGGAATTGTTGTTATTTAGCCAAATGTGATTAGGGTGACGTTAAATTTCTTAATGGCACTGGAATGCAACGTAGGGTCCCTGTCTCGCAGCACGCATCCACGAGTATGAACACACACATGCCTGATGAACTCACGAATGCACACATTAACAAGTCATGTTAATGATTTTAGTCTGAACCGGGTCATGTGTGAAAAGAAAAGCATGATGATATCAGAAGGTTAATGCTTTATCATAGTGTGTGTATGTGGATCTATGTGTAAGTGTACGTGTGTGTGTGTGTATTAAATGTGAGAAGTCTGTGTTTGATGGAGATTTCTGGAGACCTTGAAATCAGTCCCATCTGTTGCATTCTTTGAAGCTCTCCATTTCTCAGCTCTCCCCTCACTCTGACTCCCTCTTCTCTCTCGCTCTTGTGCTCGCCCTCTCTCTCTCTCTCACAGATCTGATTGTGGGGGCGTTTGGCGCAGGCGAGGTGTCGGTGTACAGGTAAGAAAGAACAAGGTGTTTCTTTTTGAAATGCGTCTCAAAGTGCAGACTTGTTTTTTTTCCATGTGTGAAATTCCATTTGACACTCACAAATTCTTGCATTTAAGATTGGTGTGTGTATGTGTGTGTGTTTAGATCTCGAGCTGTAGTGTCTGTGGAAGCTGCAATGACCCTGACACCCAGAATCCTGAACCCTGATGACCGACAGTGTCACCTGCCTCAGACAGACATCATGGTCACCTGGTAAGAGGTTTATATACACTCTTGATAATATACAGTGTTCTTCACATACTAGGCATTATCAATGGATAACTTTAAAGATCTCATTTGGGTGGCTCCTCCTTGCCCATATGTGTAAATCAAAACCAATATGACATGGCGTTCTCATAATATTTATAGATCTTGGCTTTCCAGGTTCCAAAAAATATTTTATTTTGACCTCATCTTAGATTTGAGTTCTGGAAACATGAGGGTACACTGTTATCTACCCATCTGTAGTGTGTGACAGTTGTTAGATTAGCCTGTTTATATTATTTCCTAAATATTTCAGTGTTGCTATTTCAGTCTGGTCTGAAAATAGATTTTCCATTTTCCAGACCTGATGGTAGGTTGGGCTAAAGAAATGAATGTATCCTACTTCATGACTCAAGCTGACCCTGGAACAGCACTGTCAATTACAGCAAAATCCTTTCACAATAACTTTATATTAAACCGTTCCTCTAGCTCTTCACCACAGTCGACAATTTGACGTAATTTTTTCCAGCTGTGTGTTGATCTGCCACTTCCGTTTGGCAATGCATTGTGGGACCAACAAAAATCAAGCTAAAAAATGAAAAGTGATATTTTTGAGTATATGACTCTCTTCATGTACTTCTATCTTTGTGAGGACCAGTTTTAGTTATAGATCTAACAGGGAAAGGACATTACATCCTCCATACAACTTTAAATGTCTGATTGAGAGTTGCAAATTCTACTAAAAGTCAAGTGTGTGTACCGTGTGTGTGTGTATAACTTAGTGTAGTAAAATGTATAGACTTTCACAAACTGACACGTGACAAATCACCTCTGTGTTCTAGACGTCTGCCATCAGCCAAGGTCTGTTTGTCTGTGCGTCTAATGCAATAACTGAAAAATCCCTCTCATAAAACCTGGGAACTCAGATTTATGGGTCTCTGCAATTAATTTGAAACTGCATAATTCTATTTTGATTGTATTATTGTTCCTGTGGCTTTGAACTGCCTGGGGGTGGGTTTAGTTGAGGGGAGCGAGTCTGAAGTCCCCCGCTGTTTCGCCACAATCTTTAGTTGGTTCTCACTTATTGTGCCTGGAACCGCTGCAGGACTGTTTGGACGGTCTAAGTGTACTCGGCAAGTTGCCATCATGGTGTCTGTGGGTGTGTGTGTGCCGAAGAGTGTGAGTGTTGGCAGAGAGCGAAAAGGGAAAAGGGTTTTGGTCAAATTGAAAGAGCACTAAACTATGGAATTCTGTAAAAACAAAACTCAGCTTATTTAAATAAACCACTTTGAAGTTTCGGTTGGAGGTATGGAATCAGATAGGACGTAGGAGACACACACTCACAGACACACACATACACACACATGCAGAGAGTTAAACAGCAGCTCTTAGAATTAAGAGATGCCTGAGACTCTTGTGTTTCAGAGTGGTAAAGATTTTTTGACATTTCCGTTGTTTCCCTGCGGTGAGAGCTGGAGAGAGGCATGATGGGAGGTGGCCCCAGTTTGTGCCTCTCATGTATTACCGTTACATTTGAGTCTCAGGGTTAAACATTGGATTTTCTGAAAAATAATTATTCGGGCATCATTGAAAAACCCAGGTCTTCTAACAATACTGAACACTATCCCGAGGGTGTATTTCCACAATCCTCAAAAAAACATTCTCACCATCTGGTTGAAAACTGCTGGATACACTGTGAGCTTTATTACAGATTGTGGAACTCTGCTTCTTTCTTCAAAATGTAAGCAAAGACATTTTTGCCAGAAATCATCTCTCTGGGAATGTAAGATCACTTTTTTATTTAGTTATATTTATTTTCAACATTTATATGTTTATACAAACTAATACTCTCTCATTTTGCTTGTGTTTCTCCGAAGGTAAAGTGATTTTGGTTTTGGATTTCAGACAAAATTATTTTCAACATATTCATTGAAAAAAACATTTTTTTATAGGACTGTAGACTTTAAGTATTTATTCAGTTTTTAGAATTCTGGGAATACCTCCAGAACAACCGCAGGTGTTGTTAAAGTGGCAATAAAATCTGTATTTTTGTAGTGTTCTACAGTGGCTTGTGAATGTAGTGAAGTCTTTAGGAGCTAAAGAGTCAGATATTTTCCTCAGGAGTCAATAGAAACCAAACACTGAGCTGAAAGAGACTAAATATCTACTACTTTAACTTAAGGTGAGAATATGTCAGGACCACATGCTTCAGCCTGTCTCTGCTGCCGCCCAAGTTGACAAAAAACGTTAGTGCAGCTTTTTTTTTTAAGATCACATGCTCTTTGACTGTAGGAGTGGTGCTAAAGGAAGGACAGTCCCTTAATGACCAGTCTTAAATTGAAAGTTCCCACTCCCTCACTATGTCGACCCGTAGTGGGGGGAAGGGGTCTATGTGTGCGTATTTGCAGGGAGGGCCAGCTAGAAGTGCGTAGGGTGGTGGAACACAGATGCATTTTGGGGGAAAATTACATACAGTAATGACCAAGCAAGAGCTGGAGCTGTTGTCAGTAATATGGGGGTAATTTAGGTGCTACACACACTTAAGTTCGACACATAGTGCTTATTAGAGTCACACTTGAGAACGCCCGTCCGAGCACACAGAATATGCGCACATGCTTACATGCAACACTTATTAAACGCACATGAAACCACCTGGAGAGGTTAAAATTACTTTTTTTTTTTTTAAAGAAACCTGGAGTTTATCACACACACACAAGCTCACATCTGTAGCACACATAAGCAGAGCACAGGAAAACGAGCTCATCGCCGTTGTGTCATTTAATGGGCATTCTAATTATTAACAAACACACAAGCATCCACATCCTCTGCGATCTTGCTGTCAGGGTTGGTGAACTGTAACCAAACAAAGTCATTTACCTCATGCCTCATATTGCTGAGTGGGCCGTGGAGAAGCGGGAGACTCTAATCTGTAAACTTCCTCAGATTAGTAGATATTAACAGTGTGGAGCTCCCTTTGTGGGAGTCACTTCCTGTTCTTGATTAAAGAGGTGATAACACACACATACACACATACAATTACACATACATCCAGGCATACACACATAAATAGAGGAAATGCACAAATGTTGCCCAGTCTCCCATGTCTGTCTAATGAATCTATTGTCCATTGGGTCCTGGGCATTATTTCCCACTGCCCCCTGGATTACAGGAAGGAAGAAATGCCTTGCTTATGGGCAGTTTATTTAGTTAGTTAGTTTTATGTAGTCTGGGGGTTTTCTTTGTACGTCTAAGGTCATAATACTGCTATAATATATAATGTAGTCTTATAGATCTTATTTGTATCTACCACACATGATGATTATGTATCAAACATATGATGAAAAGACAGGAGAAATTAGGAAGCCCTGCGACAGACTGGTGATCTGTCCATGGTGAACACCACCGCTCGCCCAATGTCAGCTGGGATTGGCTCTATGAAAGGATAAGCAGTACAGATAATTAATGGATGGATGTTTTCAAATAAAGCTAGAAAAGTCTAAAAATTATGAAGAATATGACAAAAAAACACAACAAAGTCTAAATCAAAATCAAAGTAAAGATGAACATATTTTTCTAAAGGGAAAGCAAGCATGTCTTAATAATGTGTTAATCATGTAACATAGTCAAACACTCTCAATCTTTTCTCTCTGTCTATCGTTCTTCCCTCCTAATTTCCTCTTCCTGCAGTCTGAAGGTGAATGTGTGTGCAGCAGTGAGCGGTGTGGGGATCCCCAGCTCTGTCGGTAAGTGGCTGTGCACAGTGTGAGAGGGAGGGAGGCAAAAAGGGAAAAGCTCAGTGGGTGGGACAGTATAGTCACAGTAGTCAGAACCAGCTTCGTCAAACATCTTGTTAAACTTCCCTGCTCGGAGTCCGCTGCTCTGCCACACCGATCAGAGTGGGGGACAAAGAGGGGATGGAGGGTGGGAGTGGGAGAGACAGACACAGTAAGTGGAGGTGTGAAGTACATTTTTCCACTGTGTAATGATGCTCTTCAGTGTTGAATGCCTAGAAATGGCTCTCTGTTACATAACCTGTGGAAAATCTCATACGGCCCTGCAGGCACACACACGGTTTAGGAGTTGCCGCTTGGCTTGAGTTTCTTACTCACTCTTTCACTTCTCCATCCATCTCCACCTCTCTACCATTTCCTCCTGTCCAGACCTGAGAGCGGAGCTGCAGCTGGACTGGTTGAAAGGCAGCAGGGGGGGAGTAAAGCGAGTTCTCTTCCTGGACACCCAACAGCCTCAGCACACGGGGATCCTAAGGCTGGGTCAGAGCCGCCCACGTGCATGCCTGAGCTACACCATTTACCTGAAAGTGAGCAAATCACACTCAAACACAAATGAAGGCGCTTTTTAATATTTTTTTGTATTTCAAAGAGGAACCGGTTACACATTTTTCATCTTGTTTCTTCACAGGAGGAGGATGAGTTCAGGGACAAGTTAACCCCCATTTCACTGGCTCTGAACTACAGCCTCGCTCCTCCCCCACGGGACCAAAACCTCCCACCTGTCCTTAACCACTATAGCAGCACTTTCCTCCAAGAGCATGTGAGTATATATAACATATAAAGAATATATTGTATTCCTGATTTTCTATGTTGTAATTTTGCTCTTTTGGTCTATTCTGTGCATGCAACATCTACCTCTTGTTGTCTGTCCCGGAGGACGAATCCCTCTTCTTTTACTCTGCCTGTTGTTTCTTCCATTTACTTTTGGGGACATATTGTCTTTATCAGGGGTCTTTAGGGATAAAGTGTGTTGTATGCCAGGCAAATTCTTGATTTTTCCTATATGGATAAAAATGAAAAGCTATTTCACAAATAAAAAATCTCTGCCGTACCTCTTAAGTTATTTCGTGTTCAACTTTTCCAAGTAGAAAGATGGTTTGTAAAAATCAGGAGTCCCCTGCTCTACCAGAAGTGAAGGATTTAATGCACACCAAAGACATACGTAGTTCTTGAACAACTTTGTATTTGTTTGCTTAATAATCAAGCCAGATGTGCACATTCATGCTCGCTCTGCACTTGCAGTAAGATTTTTTTTCCAGAGTTGAGTGGACAGATGGGCAGAAAGCAGTTTCTTTATTTTGATTCTTGTGCATGCAAACTTCAGGATCAACAGATGTTACCTGATTAGAAGCTATAACCAAATTATTAACAGGTTTATGTATATGTATTAGTATAAGTATATGTTTTATATTCTACATTAATTATCACTTGTTTTCCAGGATTTCATTGTGTGTTGTACTTGAAACACACGACACATTCAGTTAGTTAGAGTAACAGGAGACAAAGAGGATTATTTGTTGCAAGATTACACCAAACATGACTTATTCTGAAGCTGGGCACAGTACATATGGTCTGTGTGCACCAGCAAATAGCCCAGATTCAATTTGCTGCCCAAGACCTGGATAGCGTAACTCTTAACATGTGTGTCTGTGCTTTTACATCACTTGATTCCTGGTGTGTCCCAGTTACGTTTTCTTCTATTTGTCATGATGATACCCAGGGTACCATAAACATTTCCTCATGACGACCCCCTCTCCTGTGCCCCCTCTTCCTCTCAGGCCTACATTCTCCTGGACTGCGGAGACGACAATATTTGTATCCCCGACCTGCAGCTCTCTGCCAGCATGTAAGACCGACACGGCCACGCCCTCTGACCTCAACCTGTACACACTTGACACTTCACATTGCCAAACACAGACACACATGCACACACACACACACACACACACTCACCCTGAAGAAGGTATGTCTGTTATTCCTCACACAATGAGCAGAGTTTACACCGCGGCTGCTCACGTTATAGCTCCATTTACCATGTGTTTGTGTGCGTATGTGTATGTGCATTAGCCTCGTCTCTAGTGTTTCCAGCTGTACGATATCGCCATGGCAGCATTACACAAACATCCTGTCACTGTGGACTGACTGACACATGCACATTGTTGGGGTTATTGTTGGGGTCAGGGGGGATTGCATTCTTTGCAGCTGTTTGGATTAAGTCCAATCCTAAAAACTACATTTCACAAAAAACAAAAGATAGATGATGCTTTTTTTATGAAAACCAGTGTTGGTGTGTAATTTTCGGTGTCCTCTGCATGACTGAAATACTTTCTTTTCTCTTTTAACACTGTTCTTTCTTTTAAATAAAACACACACGCACAGAGACCGCTCAGAGCTGGTGATTGGAGATGACAATCTGGTCATGTTGACCATCACTGCGGCGAACCGAGGAGAGGGAGCCTACGAGACAGAGCTACACACACTGATTCCACCAGAGGCTGACTACATCGGAGTGGAGCGCAGAGTGGAGGTAAATACACACACACACACACACACACACACATGTTGTCTGATTACCTCTGGTTTGGTGTTCATGTTCATCAGTGTGGATATTCAAAATAGACACATAAGACTGGAGCCGTTATCTCATCATGTTTGAAGCGTGTACCAAGTGAGCATGTAAGAGGAAGTGAGCTATTTGCGGCAGCTTTTAGAGTGCAACATCACTTCCTGTTGTGTTTGGCGTGGCTATCAGCAAGGTATGCTTTACTGGAAACTGCCCAAAGGCCCCTATTATGATTTACAAGCTGCATTAGTGACCACGGAAGTGGACAGGGTCAACTGCTATATGTGTGTGAGTGTGTCTGTTTATGTCCTTGTGTGTGTGTTTGCACGTGTGTGTGCGTTAATGAGTGTGTAATGGGGCTGTTTGATTGATGAGGTTGTTACTGTCAGATCATTCATCACTCTACCTCTCCCTGCATTCCCCCACCCTCTCTCCTTCATTCCCATTTTTCAATCCCGCGCTCCCTTCCCCCTTTGATGCTGTTACACTTCCCTCCCTTTTTTCTTCTTTTCCCCTCTTCACTCTAACTGCTCCCTGTTTGTCACTTTCATCAACTTTTTCCTGATCATCTCACCAACTGTTCTTCTTCTTCTCTCCTCTGTAGTCTCTGTCTCAGCTGAACTGCGAGTACAAGATGGTCAATGATTCCAGGATGGTGGTGTGTGACCTCGGGAACCCGATGGTCGCTGAGACCGAGGTAAGTTTACACCCACACACACTTTTTATAAAAAACACCACTTTCGACCATCAACTCTAAGAACCTGCGACTGTTACTCGTCAGGTTTAACTCGCACTGACTGATGGCTTCCAATGATTACTGATCATCACCTTGACCCTCGTTCCACACACTCTGACTCCCTTAGCAATGCTTCACACTCAGTTTGCACATAAGTGTGTGTGCAGCATGGAATAATGATCCATGCCGCTCTCGGAGAGCTGACACATGCAGGAAGCCACAGCTTTGTAAAGTAAAGAGTGGTGGTGTACGTATGTGGGTCACAAAGCATGTCAAATTTAGTGTGTGTGTATGAGTTGAAATGTAGGGTCTTTCTAAAGGTGTCAAGGCCACCACAGAGGTGTGTTTGAGCTCTGGAGGTGACACGCAGCGTCTAATAAATCAAATTATGTGGTCATGTTTCACTGCTGGGGGAGGAGCACAAAATAAGGCATGTGAAAGGGACAAGTCATGTGCATGTATGTGTGTGTGAGTGCTCCACAGCTGTCCAGATGTTTCCCATATTTAACTCTCCCCTTGCCCCGTTGGACGTTCAGAAATCCCAGGGCTTATGCAGAACATACCGTCATGAACCCCATACAGACTGTGATCATATTGTGCAGCTCAACAATCCTCATCATTGAAGTTCAGTCCTTGTGCCACATGACACAGCTGTAGTGCCTCCCTCAGTGTAGGAGGTGCATGCCTGCAGGAAAGCTGTTTTTGGCTTCAGCATTGGGCTTCAGTATCGTCTGTGTTGCTTTTCTTTCTGTCCTGCTCTTGATTTCACTTTAGATGTAGCTTAGCCACATCGCTGTAGCTTTATGTCAAAGCTTTGGTAGTCATCGATAACAATCAAAAGACACTACCATGACTACAAAGCCGCAGATTGTATTTAAATGGAGGAAGTTTGGACCCCAGTCTTATCGAAGGAAGGAAACACTGACATTTAAATGCAGTTTTGGTTTAGAGTCAGTGTGCGAGAATACTTCAGCTCACTAGTTCTGTCCACAGTCATTGCACTGGACTGTGATGAGAATTTAATATCTATAAAAATACATGATATATATTTCAATCAGTGGAACAATGTTAATTTAATATGAAGTTTATTACACTGTACATGTTTATACTGGATAAATATTATTGTGTAAATTATGATATGAATTTCTTTTGAATCAACATACCTACATTCAAAGTATAATTTTGCTGAACAGTTGACCATTGACAGACAACTGTGGGATAATGGTAAATACTAGGGCTGCATGATCCTGGGGAACATGAGAATCACGATTTTCTTGTTTAGATTGGGGATCACAATTCTCTTCCGTTAGCAGCAGGGTTTTCTTCTGGATTCCTTTTGGTTTTTCTGCCGCTCTATGTCACTTCCATTTTTTTGCTACTCTGCATCACATGAGGTAACGCCACGTCATCTCTGATTAGGAAGAAAGAAAAGATAATGCAGCATGATGCTTTAGATCACATGTTTTGAAATTGCATACAGTTGTGAATGGAGATTACAAGTTCTATAAAATTTATCGTGCTGCCCTATTAAATACCAAATGAATCTTTAGTAGCAAAATCCCAGAACAACTTACAGATGAAGAATGTGCCGTTTCTTTTTTCTAAAGCTACATACAGTCTCACTTTATGTAGCTTCCATATAAATATTTTATCAAACACCCTTGTAGGCTTGAAACGTGGCTGCCATAGGTTTTTACTCTTCTCACAGCCACAATAGTCTATTGACTTTTAATTCATCCCAACTGATACTTATAGGGTTGAGAAACAATACAACAATGAACTTAGAAACCTCTCAAACCACAACGTCAGCCGAGAGTCAGTTTTGTTTCAATGAACCATTGTTTTGTCAAAACGTGACGAAATACGCTGCTTGTGGCAAAGTTGTGTAGCTTCAAGGAGGGTAATAGACAAACACTGACTGCAGTTGTGTATTTAGCCATATTGTGGCACAATGATAATTATTTGGAATACACTGTGCGTACAGATCAACGGTGGGGTAGAGTCTGACCACATTGCAAAAGTACTTAGAGAAAGTTTCTTGGGATGTTTTGATGATTTTTCTCCACCGTGAAAATGAACCATTCACTGTAAAAACCAGGCTCAATTCAAGCTGGCCACAGCTGCTGGTCTCTGTCTCAAGGACGAAACTAAGAGTTTTAACAGCTGCCTTTTAAACCAGGGTTGAGAGTTGGGTACTTAAAAGACAGATTTTAAGAGTCATAGTTGACCTCTTTGTTCCACTGCCTCCTCAGACATCTATGGCTGTCTTCCTCCTCCTCCTCCACCTCCTCCTCTCTCAGTATCGTAGCTGACAGTGACGTCTGCTCCTCTCTCTGAACGACTCATAACCTTCTCATTTGGTGTCTGTCTCCTCAGACGTTCCCTGCCAGGCTTTGTAGTCCCACCACACACCCCCTCACCCCCACCCCAGTCGTGTCTTTTGAAGTGTTAGTGCGAGTGCATGCTGTCATTTCCCTCTCTCTGGACCATGTGTTTGACCTGTTGTTCAGCAGAGCTCAGACACACACGCACGTACACATGGGCTCACATACTGGATGACGGGGACAAGCACACACGCGCGCCGTCGTCATACAGTGGATGATGAACCAAATCCTGCACATGTTTTGAGTTACCCTGGGGGACAGGAGATTTAAACTGAGGACAGACAAGCAACTTAACTGTAGCTTTTAAGTGTGTCTCTGTGTGTTGTCTGGATTTTCTCCGATTTAAGATTTCTGCTGTTGTCAACACACACACACACACACTGACACAAACATGATCTGCCTGTGAAGTAACAGCAGAGGACCTAGTTAACAGGGGTTTCACTGTATATTAGTGGACAGTTTAAGACATCATGTGGCTTTTGATGTATGGATGCATCTTAATTCTGCTCTTTCTTTCTCCTCTGTCATTTCTCTGCCCTCATCTTTCTCCCGTCACATGTTTTTCATACATCCTCCTGCCCAGCTGTCTGTTGGTTTGAGGTTTTCTGTGCAAAGGCTGGATGATGCGGGACCGAAAATCAGCTTTGAGCTACAGATCCACAGGTGACACACCCACCGACAGTCACGCATACCCCCTATAACCGCCCACTCACACACACAGAGAGCTGTTTGTCTTTCTTCTGAGACATGTAAATAAGTTCTGTGCCTGCCCCGATCCTGTCACTGTCTGTGGTTTGATGGAACTAACTGCAGCGACAGAGGAAGACAGACGTCCACTGTTCACTGTTGCTTCATTGTGTCCAATTCGACACAGAACATCACTAGACAGTACATCAAGCCCATGGCCAGAGGAATTTCCTTATGGAGTCAGCTAAACATAAAAACACAGCTTCATCATGTGCTTTTCTGAGTCTTTGGTTTCACTAGAAGTTTATCACAGCCTCCTGTGTAATGTTTCTAAGTAGATACAGATTGTAGAGCACAGTCACAGTGGTCTGTGTTTTATATTATACTTTACATTTAATATAAACTCCCTCTCTACAGCTCCAACAAAGATAACTCCAACAGCAACCCAGTCAGTTTGAATCTGTCCATCGTTGCTCAGGCTCAACTGGATTTACGTGGGTGAGTCAAGCGTCTTTTGCATGTGACAAGAGTGTGGCGCCTGCACCAAGAAACAGTGACATCATGGCTTGTTGTTGTGCACTGGTCTCAAAGATAAAACTGACCTGGTTTCAGTCTTAGCTTGTTGGTGTTTGCAGGACATCACTTCGCCTTTTGAATCCTGTTTATATACAGATGGAAAACAGCATGAAAACATAAAATTGAACTAACCATGTGCACATGGGATACGTAGGAACCTTTGACATGGACGTTGTTGCCCATATGGCCGCTGACACACACTCACACACACAATAACACACACTTCAAAGCATGGAGCCTTGCATGGCGTTGTTTGGGTGTGGTCACTTCTGTACACACAAGCAAAAGGAGGACCTGGGATGATGAGGACAGACTAGTTTGTCCAGTGAAATTGTTCCGACCCAGTTATCCAAATCTAGAATTTAAGTTTTTGCATTTCAAACATCAACAATTTTGAAATACACTGTGGTGTTATCTGCTCAAATCTGATGAGACTTGAATTAAATTTGAAAATCCATATAAGTTGAGATTTCTGTCAACTACACCACTACAGACCTGGAAATCTTCTGTTTGGCCTTTTTAAATGTAATAGAATCAGCTTCGCATCAGCTAGATTTCCCA